GGATTCCTTTTGCATCAATTTTAGATAAACCAAGTTAAACTTATTCCCCATCTTGAACCACGTGCCATGTGACCATGAACCACAAAACGTGGGGCTGGTGCGACTTACATGTCATGTGACCATGAACCACAAAAACCATGCTGGTGCAACCCATATGTCACATGACCATGAACCACAAGACGTGGGGCTGGTGTGACCTACATGTCATGTGACCATGAACCACAAAAAACCACGCTGGTGCAACCCATATGTCACATGACCATGAACCACAAGATGCGGGGCTGGTGCGACCTACATGATGTCATGTGACCACGAGCCACATTTTGTGGATACAAAAACTCTTAATCTCTTCTCCTATAGAGTCTCCAGACTGGCACAAACTATTATGTCAGGCTGAGATTACATTTTTTTTTTCTCTTTTGAACTGTCTGATATGAAATCCACTTCCTTCTATTTTGATATTTCATAAACATTTGAAAAAAAACAATTCACAGAAATTATATTTCTTCTTATCACAGTCACAGGGGAAAAAATTGCCACCAACACGGCTTTGTCACAGTGAGGAAAATAGTCCGGTGGAGAAAGAGTTAACCGTTTTTCCCACCCGCACAATGGAAAGATCCGAGCGGAGGCCATCGTGTTTCTACAGTTCTCAAACCAAACCTATGAGCCCTCCAGAGGAGATGGTGAAGTGATAACTATATTCTACATTATATCATCATGTGTAAGATACATGCATGGGGGCTCTCGTGGCCTAGAGGTTAAGGTGTTGGCCTCTCATTCAAAGGTCCCGGGTTCGAATCCGGGTAGCGACCGAAAAATTTTCTTCTCTAACATTGTCTCCTTTCACCTCCTTTCCTGCTCTCTAGCAATGTTCTGTTGTCTGCTTTCAATTCCACTTTCTGCCCCCACCCCTTCACCTCCTTTGCCCCCTCCTCTGGGTTCCTGACTCTTTCTGCAGCCTTTCTACTGCTACTCTTTGGCTCCTCCTTACTGCAGTCTTTCTGCCACACCCCTGATCTTCTGGTAGGAAAGATCTACACCTAGCCTTCTCGGACAAGGGCGAAAAATCTCGGAGGGCCCGTGTGCAAGTTGCGCACGTTAAAGATCCCTTGGTGGTCTAAAATCGATAAGAGTAGGCTTTGGCCGCCACCCGGGCAAAATTCAAAATTTTCTACCAACTGAAAATATTAGGTGTGTCCCGCGCGCTCATATGACCTACACAGTTGCGAGCGCCGTAAAACACTTTACAAAAACAAACATACATGCATGGATAAGAAGCAGCCAAAATTGTGGTACAAATTATAATTTTATGTTCATCGGATAAGACGTACCAACTTTTCCATGGCTAGCACCATTGCCTAAAATTTGCCCACTTTATTTCCAGAAAGCCAAAGTGAAAGAATTTTAGTTTTAGTGCTGACGGAAGCAACATCCCTGCATTCCAGACATCCATTGATGCTCCGCTGCTTTCTCCCGAGAGAGGGAATTTCTATCGAGTATCTCCGTCTTTCTTCTGGGATGTTGCATTTTTTCTCAGCCCCCGGTGGCCGTGGTAGGCAGAGTCGAAGCAACCCACCTCCTAAATGATCTAAATTGGGTTAATGGGGTCCAAAAAAAATTCAATTATTTATAATAAGTGTCATGATGCGGTGGAATCAGGCGCTCGCCAATTTTGGGGCATATGGAGTCATTGATATCATCTTAGGGCTTGTACATATGTTATGCCTTCAATGAAAAAGTTACCCATCTATCTACAATAGAAGTCAATGTATTTTGAATTGAAAAAGGTGGGGGTCACCTGGTTTTAGAGGTAAAATTAGAGAGAAAATAGCCGCTAAAGTTTGGGGACTTCCAAAGCTTGAGAGTCCTTGGAAACTGTAAATTAAAATTTCTTGTACCTTTAAATAAAGTTTTTCAGTAAAAGCCACACTGTAAAGTATTTTTAAAGGGACATAAAAAAGTGTTGAGCCAAAAAAACAAATATTTGATAAAAATGGACAAACAGGAAGAAAAATACTGTCTTCTTCGACTTCATTATTTTGACAAACGCTTGATTTCACCACAAAGCCTCACATATGATTCCAAAGCCTGTCTTTGACATGAGTAAAGCCTATGGGTGGAGAGCCGTGAAAACTCTCCTTATGACATGAAATAAACAAAAGCAACATTTGGGAATTAAACCAGGTTGTTTAAATTTGCACCTTTGCTTAGTATGTTACCTATTGATTCATCGTTCTATCCAGAATTATACATACAGCGACTGTATAGCCTACTTGTGAAAATAACATGCAGAAAGAGAGTATTCTCTTTCGAAGAATGCATACAGTGAGAGCATTGTCGTGAGAATTATACATATGCAGTAAGAGCATTGTCCTAAGACTTATACATACAGGAAAAAGATCTCATCTTCAAAAATATACATACTGTAAGAACAATCTTAACACTTTTGTATATTATTATACAGGAGGGTCTGTTCATGAGAATAATACACACGGTGACACACCATCCAGACCAACATTATTGTACTGTGAGAGCATTTACACCTGAATTATACATATATACGAGAATTATACATACAGTGAGAAAAATTAAGAGTGAAGTGAGAGCCCTCTCATGAGAGCTAACCATACGGCAGTGAGAAGAATTGTAGGCCTACATAAGAATTACTATTTTGAGGGAGCATTCTCATCTGAATATATATATATATTATATATAATTCTCAGGACAATGCTCTTACTGCATGTGTATAATTCTCACGACAACGCTCTCACTGTATATATACATCATTGCGTACATGTGGATGGTTGTTTTCTATAGGTAAAAAAAATTACGGAATGTAGAACCATGAAAAAATTACTGAAGGTAGAACCAAAGACCAAGCTAAGTTTCTATCAATTCAGTTGGCCTAAGCGCCTGCATTTGCCCAAAAAATTTAGAAAAATAGAAAACACTATCAGCCATTTACGATTATCCCGTTCGTCATTTCAATGCAGTGTTCAAGACATATTTTGTTTTCCATGATAAAAAAATTGCTCTTCCGCTAGAAATAAACAAATCTTCTTTGGGCGCCTACAGTTGAGTTGTTGCGAATCGCTTACAGAGAGTAACTTTTCTCTGGCAGTTAGACTTAGAAGATGTATCTTTGTGATAGTTCTAGATCTAGAGATACGAGGGCTGTCCCACGGAAAACCGGAAAAGGTCCGTAAAAGCAAAAATCTTTGTCCTATTATAATAAAACTGTAACACATCATACCTCAACATGTGCTTTATTTCTCAATGTAATTACCATCCCGCTGGACACATTTTTCCCATCGCTGGATCTGTGAGAAGATACCTTCCCTGAAGAATCTTTCGTCAAGGGATTTCAACCAATCGTTCACGGCTTCCACGAGGTCTTCGTCGTCGGTGAAATATGGCGTTTCATTGGTTCAAAAAGGTGATAATCTGACAGGGCCAAGTCAGGACTGTGAGGGGGGTGTATTAGAACTTCCTAGCCGAACCTTTGGAACCAGTCTTTCGTGACGTTTGCGGTGTGTGGCGTTGTGTTGCCATGCTGCAAAATGACCCCGCTGGTCTTTTTCGGCCCCAACCCATCAAGCAGAGACCTTTCAATAGTGCAGCTCATCAAACTCTATCCTATAGACAGTCGACTTTGAAATGTTTAGCGACTCGCAAATTTCGCGAATTTTTAGGCACCTGTCTGTTTGAATAAGTTCGTTAATGCGACTTTTGTTGTCCTCAGTCTTGGCAGAAAAATAAGATCCTGGGTAAATTTGTCATTGATATCGGAGTGCCCGGCTTTGAACTTACTACATCACTCATGTATACCTGTGACTTTGCCATTACTTTCTCCCCATAAACTGACTTTATTTCAGTGTGTATTTCTAGAGGTTTGAGACCTTTTGCGGTCAGAAACCGAATGACAGACCTCACTTCTACCCTTGACCAATTTTCCAAGGGGGTAGCCATCTTTTGAGAACTGCTGTGCTCGTTTGGTTTGTGCGATGCTCATGGTGCTCAATCGGGAAATTTCTAAATGATTGTTTTACAAGTGTGCGTTTACAGAATGTGAAAATATTGAATAATTTTCAAATTACAGCCAAATTCCGGTTTTCCGTGGGACAGCCCTCGTACTATGCCACCAGACGGCAGGTCTCGTTATGATTGGCACATGCACTGTGGCTAAGTCTGAGATAGATTTTAATTTAGAGGCTGTGCTGTGGCCCTGTGGCTAAAAGATGAAGACAGTATATCAGGTGTGTGTGTGTGTGTGTGTGTGTGTGTGTGTGTGTGTGTGTGTGTGTGTGCGTGTGTGTGTGTGCGCGTGTGTGTGTGTTAGTTAGATCTATCTAGATCTAGATGAGAATAAAATCCCTGCCACTCAAACGGCGAGCCATTGGACTAACGACACCTGTGGCTAAGAGACAAAGGCACAGTAGATCTAGATCTAGATCTGGTGTGAACACTGAATATACAGAGGGAGAAGAAGAACATGAAGTAAATTAAGAGGAAGAAGAAGATCAACCTGATATGGATACACTAAGTAGAAACCCCCCAGCGTTTACAATTTACATACACTGATGCTGATCTAAGTCTTGACAATACTTGCTCTATTGGAAAAATGACAAATGTGTGCAATCATTGTAATGCTACAAAGTTTCAAGAAGAAACAAAAAGTATAAGCTGTGGGAATGGGAAACATAAACTGGATCCATACCCACCACCTCTGCCACCAGAAATTAAAGATCTGTTCATTAGTAATTCCCCACATTCTGAGCATTCTTAAGCAACATCAGAAAGTATAAGTGTTCATTTCAAATGACATCTTTTGGATGTCAGAAGATCAATTTGCAAGGCTGGAACCCAAATTTATGTGTGCACGAGCAGGTTTATCACTTGGTTGGCTCAAAACTTTCAACAGAACATGAAAATGAACAGTTGGTGCAGGTTTACTTTTTAGAATCGGAGGACCAAATAAATCAAGAACGACGATGACAGATGACTGCAGTCTTTAACGCAATGTAATCAATATGTTACAAGACAGTCTACAAGCGCATAACAAATACATCAAAGAAATAAAGGCTGCATACATATAGGCAACTCAAAATGGACTTCAAAATTTCAACATATCAATTCATATTCAAATATTTCAACATATTCATATATTTCAACATATCAATTCATATTCATATATTTCAACATATCAATTAATATTTTCCCGTTCGTAGAACGATTAGGCAGGCTAGTTATACATAAAAAGAAGGTGTTCTCATGAGCGAGTAGAATTATATGCAACGCACAGTGAAAAGAATTATACGTACAGTGTAAAGAATTATCTGTACAGTTTAAAGAATTATACGCACAGTGTAAAGAATTATACGTACAGTTTTACATACAGTGAACAGAATTATCAGTACAGTGTAAAGAAGGCCTACAGTGAAAAGAATTATCAGTCAGTACAGTGCAAAGAATTCTACGACTAGCGAGAGGGTTCACAAAAGAACACAGGAGCGAGACGACCGACTTGCTTCCTTGTCCAGCATTAACTTCTCGATGCTGCGTAATGCGTCTCTCTCCTGTAATGCTCTCCTCACCAGTCCCGAGTTTTCTTGCTGATCTGTCACGGACACTTCCACTTTCCGGTCCTCCTCCACCTGCCCACCATCGTTCTGACCTTGGTTCTGATGTGGGCTCTGACCTTGGTCCTGACCTGGACTCTGACCTTGAACAAGATTCCCTCCATCAGCTTTGTCAGTAGCAGGTGAGATCGTTGGTGGTGCTGCTGATTGCGTAACATTCAGTTCCACGGCCGCGGGTTTCTTCAGAGCACGATTGCCGTCAGCGTTCACCGCATCGCTCGTATCTAAGTAGCTGTACCGACTCTTCAACTTTCCGTGCTGGAAAAAAGCGTTCATTTCCGTCATCACTGCTTTGCCACCTGTGTCTGACCCGGAGGTCACCGTCGTCTGTTGACCTTGAGCCACTGTGTCCGTCTCGGTCTCGGCCTCATCTGCGTCTGCATCAACATCATCGTCGATGTAGTTGACCTCGTTGTCTTTCTCGTCTGTGGCATCGTCCGTGGCCAGCGGGGAAAGAGACAGCTCTGACACTGACAGCGCCACCTAAAGACACAAGGGAGGGAAGACAATCTAACTGAACCACTTGTATACCAGTATTTTAAATTACTGTTTTCCAGTTATAAGGAATGTTTGAGCAAAAAGAGGAGCTACAAAACACACACACACAAAAAATAATTTTAAGCCAGTCATTAAGCATTGGGAAAAAGTAAGACAGACAGACAGAAAGTATAGAGGGTAAGAAGAGAAATAGAGCCTATCAGTAGTACCTTCCACCTACACCCAATGAGATTTTTAGTTTTAGTAGAGGTTTTACGGCGCTCGCAACTGCATAAGGTCATATGAGTGCCAAGGGGTGGATGTCGACAGAGAATTCCTTACAGGGAATCAGA